TCCTATAAAATATGAGAATAAACTGAAAAAGAACAGACCCGCTCATCTTCTAAACTGCAGATCTTGATTTCTAGATTGATATCACTGTACGCATTAGGTTCCACCATGTTGGTGCGACTCCTGGGTCTTGGTGTGATACTGCTGATGCTGCTGAGGCTTAGTTGTCTGGCTGCCACAGATGGAGAGCTAACTTTTTGCTGTTCCCAAATAATCACCTGGCATTTACTTTCAACCAGCTCCTTGCTTTCTTTCCCTTCTCCTTGGAAGTATCGCAGAGCTCCAGGACCATCCAGGACTAATGTGTCAAATGTCATGCTGGCCAGAGCGACCATAAGGGCCTGCTTTGTCTCCTGAACCCGCAAACGGGGTCCAGACAACAGTACACATGGGTTTGGAAAATGGGAGGGTGAGAGTTTCACATCAGTCGGCTTCATGCCAATTATTCCTAAGATTTTATCAAAGCAGTCAACTAGTTCAGGACACTGCAGGCTGAGGACATCTTGAACTGATACCTGATTCGCCTGATAGTCATGAAGAAGCTCTTTAAGCTTGTTCACTTGTTCAGTGTAGCCCACCAGCTGTACTTTAATTGATGGAGTACCACTGTATCCAGGGACAAAGCTAACTTCCACTCTGTGCTCGCCACGGTTTGCTTCATTCTTTGCTTTGATAATAATTTCTTTGAGTTGGTCTAGATCTGGAGGTTTGGCTGCAGCACCCTGAAGATTCACACTTGATACATTTAGATCTCTCAGCAGTGTTGTCTCAGCTTCATTTAGGGCATCTGAAGACAAACTAGAAAGAAGCAGCTCTGATCCCACCTCAAAGTAAACTGGACTTCTTAGACTTTGTTGAAACCGAGTTTGGTACTTGGAGATGGCATTGCTGATGGCCATAAAGGCAATTAAATATGCAGGAAGATTCACCTTCTTTTCTTGGATCTTCATTATCAGTTCGTTAAGTTTTGTTGATCCAGACTGTACTTTCTCTTCAGGCCCTTCTAAAATTATCATGTTAACTCTCCTGCTGATTTTTACCTCTGGGTAAAATGTGCTCATCTCTCTGTTGAAATCCTCTTCAATAAGTTTGAACTGCTTCTCCACAACTCGCTGCTCCTTACATACTGGTATGCTTTTCACCAGAACTGCAATTTTCTCCTTTACCACGTCAGCTTCCCCAACCATCACAGCATAACCACTCTCTGAGTAAACTTTTACGTCATCAGTGACAAAGAAGGGATCCTGCAGAACCTTTTTGACCTGTTTGGGCTCAAGCACATGATGGCAGCTGTAGCTCTCAATGAGATTAATGAAGATCTTATCCACTTGGAGTTCCCAGTGTTCTGCTGCACCGTCAAAAGCTCCCCCAAGCCCCTTCTCTATATCTCCACTTACTACTGCCTCTTCTTCCTCAAAATCTAGCCGCACTGTGCAGCTGATTGCAGAGAGCTGCTTTTGCAGGACTTTGAACGCTTTAGGATTGTCTCTCAGGTAGAACAAGAGGAAGATGTCTGTTGGGAAAATCTTCTCTAGGGNTCTATATCTCCACTTACTACTGCCTCTTCTTCCTCAAAATCTAGCCGCACTGTGCAGCCGATTGCAGAGAGCTGCTTTTGCAGGACTTTGAACGCTTTAGGATTGTCTCTCAGGTAGAACAAGAGGAAGATGTCTGTTGGGAAAATCTTCTCTAGGGTTTTCTTGCTGAGTTTAGTAGTTGTCTACAAAAAGAAAAAGAAAAAAAAGATTTTGTTTTATTATATAAAAACGGTGGATACAGGAAATGTATAAACTATCTAATGAAAAGTTGCGCCCCCACCTAGTAAAAAAATAAATAAAAACATCAATAACATTTATACATTTCTCTTATACAAGATGGTGCCGTCTAAAGGCAGCGATTTGCAACAGCTCTCGCAAATTCCACAAAATATGCGACATAGAACGCTACAAACTATGTAACGATCCTGTATCTATGATCGCCAGTGCCTGGTGGAGCTACAGTCAAAGTGTTTTTTTTTTGGACTTGTAAATACAGCCACTTTTGACTGCTTAAGAAGCTTTGGGGTGCTTCAGGCAGATGCGCACAGAGTAGCCGACACATGGAGCAGAACACACAGGAGAAAGAGCAAGTGGAAGTTGTGTGCAAGACTGCTTAAGCAGGGCTACAGAGGTGGGCAAACAGGCTAAGAACAAATCCCCACAGACCATCACTGCCTTCAATTCTGCTCTCCAACGTCCACTAAGTGGACAACACAATGGATCATCTTCAACTCAAACTCTAATAAAATAAGGAAATTATTGACTGCTACGCCGTCATCCTGACAGAGTCATGGCTTAAATTATTAATACTGGATGATGCTGTTATCCTGAAGGGAACTCTAAACTCTGCGGTAAAGGCTGCTTTATCCTTCGAAACCAGGTCGTCTGCGTAGGTATCGCAGTGAATAAAAAAAACGTCCCCGCCCCCTCCGCAGACACTCTGCCGCACCTCTCCCAAATAGTAGGTGACCGCAGACAGGAGGCTGGCTTGTTTTGTTTTTTTGTTGTTGATCATTTATTTCGAACACTTAATAAAAAGCAAATATAAGTAAATTAATAAAGTCATAACAAAACAAAAAAGAAAAAAACATATGTACATACCATCATGTTCGAAAAGGAGTAGGAAGAAGTAATAAAACTTATTAAATCCTACCCCTGTTGTATATTAACATCTACCTATGTTTAAGCATACATATATATCGACACACACACACACACATATATATATATATATATATATATATATATATGTGTGTGTGTGTGTGTGTGTGTGTGTGTGTATATATATATATATATATATATATGTACACATACTCAGATACCTATACATACTTACACATACACCCGTATCTCAAACACATGCACACATACATGCATATACATACACACCCACATAGCTATAGACAGTATACACATATCTCTATCTACATATAGGTACACAGATATCCATATACCAAAAACCCTTATCTCTCACACTTTTTATATATATATATATAATTTTTTTTTTTTTTTTTACTATTTCATCTCTCTTGACTTCTTATCGATTTTAATTCATAGTGGCAGAGCAAGTTCTATTCCCCCTCAAGCCCCGTCCTCCCTGTATCTT